TCCCTCCTCATCCTCCTCCTGTCCTTTAGACCTGAAACACAATGGTAGTGTGAGTCCCAAATGGCACCCTATTCCCTATGTAGTGCACTACTTTTGAAAAGAGACCACATAGGGAATAGGCTACCATTTCAGACACTCCCAGTTTATTCCAACAATAGCCGTTTCTACCCAGGGCTGTGTCTCAAATGGTACTATTAACTTTATAATCATTACTTTTGACCAGGTGAAAGCTATGATCCCTTATTGATGTCACTTGTTAAATCCACTTCAATCCGTGTAGATGAAGGGGAGGAGACCGGTTAAAATAAGGATTTTTAAGCATTGAGCCATGGAATATGTATTTGTGCTATTGTGGGTGAATGGGCAAGACCAAAGATTTAAGTGCCTTTTGAACGGGGTATGGTAGTAGGTGCCAGGCGCACCGGTTTGTGTCAAGAACTGCAACGCTGCTGGGTTTTTCATGCTCAACAGTTTTCCCGCGTGTATCAAGAATGGCCCACCACCAAAAGGACATCCAGCCGACTTGACACAACTGTGGGAAGCGTTGGCGTCAACATGGGGCCAGCATCCATGTGGAACGCTTTCAACACCTTGTAGAGTCCATTCCCCGACGAACTGAGGCTGTTCTGAGGGCAGCCCTGGTCCTGGTCCTGCTCCAGAACAACGCCTCTGTCCTTCAGTGGAACAGCAACACCTGGGACCTCATACAGGGGCCCTCACAGTTTCATACTTGTTTTCTGACAGAAAAGTTATGTTACCGAAATCCCTAATTTGTTTAGGAAAAACATTCCCTATTCCCTCGACCCTTGCTCTCTTTACGTGAAACATGTAAGCATCGCATGCATGTGACCCAATAGGTCCTGGCTTATCATAATCACATCAATACACTGGTTATAATAAACTCAGAACACAGTAACACTTGACAGCAAAATGGATGCGGAGGACTTGAAAAGAAGCTCAAAACGGGCGAATGTTTACTGGTTGCTCAGGAGGGAAAGTCAGATCTGTGGAAGACATTTTGATTTAGTTGTGGAAACTACTGGACATTTAATAAACAGGAGGGTTTACTGTAGGAGCAAGCGTTGCATGAGTATTATGTGTGCCAAACAGTTGCTGTGATATTACAATATTATTTTTTCTGACCATTTGGAACAGTGTAAACAACACAAAATAAGTGCACCAGAGATATAAAGCCTTTATTACAGCAGATTAAAAACAGTTGCATGCGTTCGTGAATTGCGGTTTATTTATATGTTTAGGCTAATTATTCGAAGCTCCGTTTTTGTTATTTAATTTTAAAACAAATCATTGATTGCATTTCAAAGCGTGACTGTCTCGTATGCTGTGTGATGGCAAGAACAAATAAGTAATTGATTGATGCAGTAGCCTATATAAGTATTGAAATGTAGTCCTAAGTAAGTTCGAGGGTTAAGACTAAACAGGACGCGCTGTTAGGCCAACAGCTTGATGGTGTTATACAAGGCTACTATAGGAGATTTTGAAAAAAGAGGGTCTAGGAGCGAGAGCTGCGTGCGTATTATGACAAACAGGTGCTTGTTAGATTACAATATAATTGTTCTGCCTGTTTGGAACAGTGTAAACAACACTAAATAAATGATAAGTAATTACCAGTCTGTTCTAAAGTAGAATTTTTTTTTGTGAATCCTTTATTACAGCATAGCAGAGATTAAAAACAGACAAATCTGTGAAATTGCTTAATCCGACATGTTGCCGTTGCATGAGGCTTGGTGCTCACGGAATCAGTAGGCTATTTAAACAGGCAACAGAAGCAGGATCTGTCTTAATGTTTGTAGATATATGGATTATTTATAAAGCCAGGCCCATTTAAGAGTTAGGCTATTGATTATAGACCTAATTAACTTGGTTTCCTCTATCCTCAGTTTTCTTAGACAATTAGGCTAAAGGCAAGGGCAGTTTCCTCGTCTCTGCTGCCGCTGCCTCCGCCGCATTGTTCTGAATCCCAATATGCTTATTAACGTTGGTATTATGCGCATAGCAAAATAGGGAAAGGCGCCAATTCTACGGCGCACTGAAGATTGTTCCAGAACCGTGGACAGCGACCGTATCCAACGCGGGAGAAAGCTAATTTGTTATAAAATAATATTCGATTTATTAGTGTTGCACCATTTATTTTTACATAATATAACCATATACTAACTGTAAGTCGCTCTGGATAAGAGCGTCTGCTAAATGACTAAAATGTAAAATGTAAAATATACAATTTCAGTATCACCTGTCTTAACGTGATGGACTGACTAGTCCACTGAGACAGGCGCCAATTAGACAGGCGCCAATTAGACAGGCGCCATAAAAAAAAAAGGTATAATCATTGCGACTGCTCGACTAAAGAAATCTGTCGACCAAACGACTAAATGGGGTCAGCCCTAAATATTATGTAGCAAAATGTGATGTTTTTATTATATGTTTTTGTTGTTTTTTTACATTGGATGAAAGTAGAGACTCGGCGCTAGAAAATGGTATATCATGCACTCCCGTTGAGGAACAATGAGAAAGTAATTCTGCTTTGAAAGCTGATGAACTTGTAACCCTACATTTGAGAAAATGGCCCTTGAATGTTTTGATACACCCTACTGGAGAGCTGTTATTTGTCTACATCCAATCAGCATCGTTCACACCCTCTTAAGCCTTAGTCCCACCCATCTCTTTAAGGATTCCCATGTGAGGCCATGTGCTAAACAGAGTGAGGTAGTGTAGTAAACAACCAAAGATTTCAAGACTAAAAGTGGTGAAAGTAGAAGCAAACAGTAGTAGTACAAATACACTATCTAGTCCTTGGCCTACATCCTAATCTGACTTTGGTGCAGGTCATGTTGTTTTTCACAATACAAAGTGTATTTGTCACATGCACAGGATACAGAAGGTGTAAACGGTACAGTGAAATGGTGACTTGCATATTTGCATAGCAGCACTATCAAAAATAGAAAGTGTCCAGATAAAAATATTTCATAAATATTTTATAATTATTAGATGATGCTTACCCAGACACACTTGTCTAAATTGATGGGTCATGTGAAAGAAATGCTATAACCACCCCCCAGCCACATCTAGCTAAGTGGATGGGTCACTATTGTCTAGACATGTTCATGAAATACAATAGATGGCCGTAATCACCCCCAGACACACCTGGCTAACTTGATGGGTCATGTAACAATCTGGCGAAGTGGAGTCTTTTGTTTAGCTAGCTAAACAATTAATCATAATCCCAACGCATAGCTACATTACAAACGGATTGTCATAGCTAGCCACCATACATGAATCTGCAGGTAGCTAAAGCTAACCAACTAGGTTCAATGTTCAGATAGCTAGCTAACATTAGGCTATAACTAGCAATGCAAATGGCTTTCTGATATACAAATAATATTACTACACATATCACACACATAACGTTAGCTAGCGAGCCAGCAAGCTAACGTTCGCTAGCTAGCTAACAGTACGTTTTAACTTGCAATGAAAATTACTTTCTTACAAAATTAGAAACGTATAATATCGGAAAATGTAGCTAGACTCTTACCCGTATACACGGAGGAACGCTTCACTGCAGAGTGGAACCCTTTTTACTCCGTTTTGTTTGTAGTTACAGCTTCTTCGGCCCACGTTGTGTCAAGTCACTCCGGTTCACGCTGACTGTAGTAGTAGTCATCACGCTGACCGTAGTAGTAGTCATCACGCTGACTGTAGTAGTCATCACGCTGACTGTAGTGGTAGTCATCATGCTGACCGTAGTAGTACTCACCACGCTGACTGTAGTAGTAGTCATCACGCTGACTGTAGTAGTAGTCACCACGCTGACTGTAGTAGTAGTCATCACGCTGACTGTAGTAGTAGTCATCACGCTGACTGTAGTAGTAGTCATCACGCTGACTGTAGTAGTAGTCATCACGCTGACTGTAGTAGTAGTCATCACGCTGACTGTAGTGGTAGTCATCACGCTGACCGTAGTAGTAGTCATCACGCTGACCGTAGTAGTAGTCATCACGTTGACCGTAGTAGTAGTCATCACGCTGACTGTAGTAGTAGTCATCACGCTGACTGTAGTAGTAGTCATCACGCTGACTGTAGTAGTAGTCATCACAACTGACTGTAGTGGGTAGTCATCACGCTGACTGTAGTAGTAGTCATCACGCTGACCGTAGTAGTAGTCATCACGCTGACCGTAGTAGTAGTCATCACGCTGACTGTAGTAGTAGTCATCACGCTGACTGTAGTAGTAGTCATCACGCTGACTGTAGTAGTAGTCATCACGCTGACTGTAGTGGTAGTCATCACGCTGACTGTAGTGGTAGTCATCACGCTGACTGTAGTGGTAGTCATCACGCTGACCGTAGTAGTAGTAGTCATCACGCTGACTGTAGTAGTAGTCCATCACAATTCAGAGCAGACATTTTGTTGAGAGCAGTCCAACGTTATATCTTTTTTAAAAAAGCCAGCGGTAGCAAGGATTATCTACACATAATGAGCAGCTCATGTTATAGACAGAAGCATGCTACCTGGCAGACCAATCCGAACTCATCTCTCAGCATGTCCAGCCCATCCATTAACTCAGCCAATCATGGCTAGCGGGAAGGTTCCTGTCTTTTTCCGTGGCTAAACCGACTAGGCTCATAATTAGCAATTGTATTCATATTTACAGATGGAATACACATTTGTTATTAAGGCACATTAAAGTTCACATGTTGCAGAAGGAATTTTTGCCAAAAAAACACATTTTGATAAATTATATATAAAAAAATAAATAATAATAAATAATTCTAATGCCTCTCCTGTGACGTGCAACATACGCCTGGTTTCTTGAAACGGGTCACATATAGTGCAACTCCTTTTGACCAGGGTCTATAGGACACTACTGTATACAGGGGATAGGGAGTCCATTTGAGACGCATCCTAAGGTTGTTCACTACTTTACATGTTATTCAGTATACCCTGTACACCACATGGTTAATCTGCTGGATGTTATTCAGCATACCCTGTACACCACATGGTTAATCTGCTGGATGTTATTCAGCATACCCTGTACACCACATGGTTAATCTGCTGGATGTTATTCAGCATACCCTGTACACCACATGGTTAATCTGCTGGATGTTATTCAGCATACCCTGTACACCACATGGTTAATCTGCAGGATGTTATTCAGTATACCCTGTACACCACATGGTTAATCTGCTGGATGTTATTCAGTATACCCTGTACACCACATGGTTAATCTGCTGGATGTTATTCAGTATACCCTGAACACCACATGGTTAATCTGCTGGATGTTATTCAGCATACCCTGTACACCACATGGTTAATCTGCTGGATGTTATTCAGTATACCCTGAACACCACATGGTTAATCTGCTGGATGTTATTCAGCATACCCTGTAACAACCACATGGTTAATCTGCTGGATGTTATTCAGTATACCCTGTACACCACATGGTTAATCTGCTGGATGTTATTCAGTATACCCTGAACACCACATGGTTAATCTGCTGGATGTTATTCAGTATACCCTGTAACACCACATGTTAATCTGCTGGATGTTATTCGTATACCCTGTACACCACATGGTTAATCTGCTGGATGTTATTCAGTATACCCTGTAACACCACATGGTTAATCTGCTGGATGTTATTCAGTATACCCTGTACACACATGGTTAAGTCTGCTGGATGTTATTCAGTAATACCCTGTACACCACATGGTTAATCTGCTGGATGTTATTCAGTATACCCTGTACACCACATGGTTAATCTGCTGGATGTTATTCAGTATACCCTGTACACCACATGGTTATCTGCTGGATTTATTCAGTATAACCCTGAACACCACATGGTTAATCTGCTGGATGTTATTCAGTTATACCTGTACCCACATGGGTTAATCTGCAGGATGTTATTCAGTATACCCTGTACACCACTGTTAATCTGCTGGATGTTATTCATCATACCCCTGTACACCACATGGTTAATCTGCTGGGATGTTATTCAGTATACCCTGAACACCACATGGTTAATCTGGCTGGATGTTATTCAGTATAACCCTGTACAACCACATGTTAATCTGCTGGATGTTTATTCAGTATACCCTGAACACCACATGGTTAATCTGCTGGATTTTATTCAGTATACCCTGATACACCACATGGTTAATCTGCTGGATGTTATTCAGTATACCCTGTACACCACATGGTTAATCTGCTGGATGTTATTCAGTATACCCTGTACACCACATGGTTAATCTGCTGGATGTTATGCAGTATCCCTTTACACCACATGGTTAATCTGCTGGATGTTATTCAGTATACCCGTACCACCACATGGTTAATCTGCTGGATGGTTATTCAGTATAACCCTGAACACCACATGGTTAATCTGCTGGATGTTATTCAGTATACCCTGAACACCACATGGTTAATCTGCTGGATGTTATTCAGCATACCCTGTACACCACATGGTTAATCTGCTGGATGTTATTCAGTATACCCTGAACACCACATGGTTAATCTGCTGGATGTTATTCAGTATACCCTGTACACCACATGGTTAATCGCTGGATGTTATTCAGTATACCCTGTACACCACATGGTTAATCTGCTGGATGTTATTCAGTAGACCCTGTACACCACATGGTTAATCTGCTGGATGTTATTCAGTATACCCTGTACACCACATGGTTAATCTGCTGGATGTTATTCAGTATACCCTGTACACCACATGGTTAGTCTGCTGGATGTTATTCAGTATACCCTGTACACCACATGGTTAATCTGCTGGATGTTATTCAGTATACCCTGTACACCACATGGTTAATCTGCTGGATGTTATTCAGTATACCCTGTACACCACATGGTTAATCTGCTGGATGTTATTCAGTATACCCTGTACACCACATGGTTAGTCTGCTGGATGTTATTCAGTATACCCTGTACACACATGGTTAATCTGCTGGATGTTATTCAGTATACCCTGTACACCACATGGTTAATCTGCTGGATGTTATTCAGTATACCCTGAACACCACATGGTTAGTCTGCTGGATGTTATTCAGTATACCCTGAACACCACATGGTTAGTCTGCTGGATGTTATTCAGTATACCCTGTACAACCACATGGTTAATCTGCTGGATGTTATTCAGTATACCCTGTACACCACCATGGTTAATCTGCTGGATGTTATTCAGTATACCCTGTACCACCACATGGTTAATCTGCTGGATGTTATTCAGTATAGCCCTGTACACCACATGGTTATCTGCTGGATGTTATTCAGTATACCCTTACACCACATGGTTAATCTGCTGGATGTTATTCAGTATACCCTGTACCCACATGGTTAATCTGCTGGATGTTATTCAGTATACCCCTGTACACCACATGGTTAATCTGCTGGATGTTATTCAGTATACCCTGTACACCACATGGTTAATCTGCTGGATGTTATTCATAAAACCCTGTAACACCACATGGTTAATCTGCTGGATGTTTATTCAGTAAAACCCCTGTACACCACATGTTAATCTGCTGTTTTTTATTCAGTATCCCCTGTACACCACATGGTTAATCTGCTGGATGTTATTCAGTAAAACACCCTGTACAACCACATGGTAATCGTTGGATTTTATTCAGTATAACCCTGAACCACGGTTAATTGCTGGAGTTATTCATATACCCTGTACACCACATGGTTAATCTGCATGATGTTATTCAATACCGTACACCACATGGTTAATCTGCGGGATGTTATTCAGGGATCAAACCCTGTACACCACATGGTTAATCTGCTGGATTTATTCAGTATACCCTGTACACACATGGTTTAATCTGCTGGATGTTTTTTCAGTAATACCCTGAACACCACATGGTTAATCTGCTGGATGTTATTCACATACCCTGTCCACCACAGGGTTATCTGCTGTATGTTATTCAGTATAAACCCTGAACACCACATGGTTAATCTGCTGGATGTTATTCAGTATACCCTGTACACCACATGGTTAGTCTGCTGGGATGTTATTCAGTAACCCTGTACACCACATGTTAATCTGCGGGATGTTATTCAGTATACCCTGTACACCACATGGTTAATCTGCTGGATTTATTCAGTATACCCCTGTACACCACATGGTTAGTCTGCTGGGATTTTTCAGTATACCCTGTACACCACATGGTTAGTCTGCTGGATGTTATTCAGTATACCCTGTACACCACATGGTTATCTGCGGGATGTTATTCAGTATACCCTTTACAACCCACATGGTTAATCTGCTGGATGTTATTCAGTAACCCTGTACACCACATGGTTAATCTGCTGGATGTTATTCAGTATACCCTGTACCCACATGGTAGTCGCTGGATGTTATTCAGTATACCCTGTACACCACATGGTTAATCTGCTGGATGTTATTCAGTATACCCTGTAACACCACATGGGTTAATCTGCTGGATGTTTTCAGTATAACCCTGAACACCACATGTTAGTCCTGCTGGATTTATTCATATACCCTGAACCCACATGGTTTTAGTCTGCTGGATGTTATTCAGTATAAACCCTGTACACCACATGGTTAATCTGCTGGATGTTATTCAGTATACCCTTACACCACAATTGTTAATCTGCTGGATGTTTTCAGTATACCCTGTACACCACATGGTTAATCTGCTGGATGTTATTCAGTAACCCTGTACCCCACATGGTTAATTTTGCTGGATGTTTTTCAGTATACCCTGTACAACCACAGGGTTTTAATCTGCTGGATGTTATTCAGTATACCCTGTACACCACATGGTTATCTGCTGGATGTTATTCAGTATACCCTGAACACCACATGGTTAATCTGCAGGATGTTATTCTATACCCTGTAAAACCACATGGTTAATCTGCTGGATGTTATTCAGTAAAAACCCTGTACCCCCACATGGTTAATCTGCTGGATGTTTTTCCCAGTATACCCGTACACCACATGGTTAAATCTGCGGATGTTTTTCCCGTATACCCTGACACCACATTTTAATCTGCTGGATGTTATTCAGCATACCCCTGTACACCACATGGTTAATCTGCTGTATGTTATTCAGTATACCCTAACACCACAGGGTTTAAATCTGCTGGTGTTATTCAGTATACCCTGTACACCCACATGGTTAGCCCTGCTGGATGTTATTCGTATACCCCTGTACACCACAGGGTTTAAATCTGCGGGATTTTTATTCAGTATACCCTGAAACACCACATGGTTAATCTGCTGGATGTTATTCAGTATACCCTGTACACCACATGGTTAATCTGCTGGATGTTATTCAGTATACCCTGTACACCACAGGGTTAATCTGCTGGATGTTTTTCAGTATACCCCTGTAAAACCACATGGTTAGTCTGCTGGATGTTATTCAAAACCCCCTGTACACCACAGGGGTTAATCTGCTGGATGTTATTCAGTATACCCTGTACACCACTGTTAATCTGCTGGATGTTATTCATTAAAAACCCTGAAACCACATGGTTAGTCTGCTGGATGTTATTCAGTATACCCTGTACACCACATGGTTAATCTGCTGGATGTTATTCGTATACCCTGTACACCCACAGGTTAATCTGCTGGATGTTATTCAGTATACCCTGTACACCACAGGGTTTTATCTGCTGGAGGGTTATTCATAATACCCTTACACCACATGGTTAATCTGCTGGATGTTATTCAGTATACCCTGTACACCCACATGGTTAATCTGCTGGATGTTATTCAGTATACCCTGTACACCACATGGTTAATCTGCAGGATGTTATTCATATACCCCTGTACACCCATGGTTAATCTGCGGATGTTATTCAGTATACCCTGAACACCACATGGTTAATCTGCTGGATGTTATTCATATCCCTGAACACCACATGGTTAATCTGCTGGATGTTATTCAGTATACCCTGTACACCACATGGTTAATCTGCTGGATGTTATTCCCAGTATACCCTGTACACCACATGGTTAATCTGTTTGATGTTATTCAGTAAAACCCTGTACACCACATGGTTAATCTGCGGGATTTATTCAGTAAAACCCTGAACACCACATGGTTAATCTGCTGGATGTTATTCAGTATACCCTGTACACCACATGGTTAATCTGCAGGATGTTATTCAGTATACCCTGTACACCACAGGTTAATCTGCTGGATGTTATTCGTATACCCTTACACACCACAGGGTTTTAACTGCTGGGTGTTATTCAGTATACCCGTACACCACATGGTTAATCTGCAGGATTTATTCAGTAAAAACCCTGTACACCACATGGTTAATCTGCTGGATGTTATTCAGTATAACCCTGTACACCACATGGTTAATCGCTGGATGTTATTCAGTAACCCTGTACCCCACATGGTTAATCTGCTGGATGTTATTCAGTATACCCTGTCCACCACATGGTTAATCTGCTGGATGTATTCAGTATACCCTGTACACCACATGGTCAATCTGCTGGATGTTTAATTCAGGGATACCCTGTACACCACATGGTTAATCTGCTGGATGTTTATTCAGTATAGCCCTGTACAACACCACATGGTCAATCGCTGGATGTACAGGCCCAGTCACACTGTGCTGCCGCTTTCCTGCTCTGAAGCCTTTACCCCCGAGGCTCCACCATGTTTCACTTTATTAACTAGACTTCTAGAGTTCAACTATTAACGTTCAAGTTCCCTCTCTCCCTTTTCCCTTCACAGGAGGTTTCCCAAGCATTCCTAGAGAGCCAGGTATTCCCAACCCCACCACAGATACAGTAACATTCAGGCTACAGCCCAAACTACACCCTATTCCCTACATAGTGCACTACTTTTGACCAGAGCCTATTTGACCTATGTGCCCTAGTCAAAAGTAGTGCACTATATATGGAATAGGAGGCCATTTGGGACGTAGCCAGAGACATTGGCCAAAGCCAGACACATAGGATCACATTAACTCAGTGACCCTCTGATCAGTGAGGGTGGTGGTGGGAAACATTACAGGTGGAAATACAGGTTGCCTCTAACTGCTGATCTGGGGTCAGATATTGTGTGCTCCCAAATGACACACTATTGCCTATATAGTGCACTACTTTGACCAGGGCCCCTTGGGGTCATTTGGGATGTATCTATATGGTTATACCGTATAATATCCTGGGAGGTACAGTTAGTTATCTGATCCTAGATCTGTGGTTAAGAGGACAACTTCTACCTCAAGCACTGGCTAACCTAGTCTCTTCTCTCTCTCTATCTCCTTCTCTTCCTCCCCCTACCTCTCTCCTCCCCTCCTCTCCCCCCTCCCCTCCTCCCCTCCCCCCTCCCCCCTCCTCTCCCCCTCTCTCCCCTCCTCTCCCCCTCCCTCCCCTCCTCTCCTCCCTCACTCTCTCCTCCCCTCCTCTCCCCCCTCCCCTCCCCTCCCTCCCCCCCCTCTCCCTCCCTTCCTCCCTACCCCCCCCTCCTTCCCCCTCCCTCCTCCTCCCCCTCCCCTCTCTCCCGCCTACCTCTCTCCTACCCTCCCTCCCCCCTCTCCCCCTCTATCACCTCCTCTCCACCCTCCCTCCCCTCATCTCCCCCTCCCTCCCCTCCGTCTCCCCCTATCCCCCCTCCCTCCCTCTCCCCCCTCTCTCCCCCCTACTCTCATCCTCCCTCATCTCCCCCTACCTCTCCTCCCCCTCTCCCACCTCCCTCTCCCTCCCATCCTCTCCCTCCTCCCCTCCTTTCCCCCCCCTCCCTCCTATCCCTCCTCCCTCTCCCTCCAGGTGGACAGTGCTATGTCTCTGATCCAGGCAGCTAAGAACCTGATGAACACGGTGGTGTCCACGGTCAAGGCTAGCTACGTGGCCTCCACTAAGTACCAGAAGTCCATGGCCATGCAGTCCCTGAACATGCCTGCTATCTCCTGGAAGATGAAAGCCCCAGAGAAGAAACCCCTGGTCAAGAGAGAGAAACAGGAAGATGGATCCAACAACAAGGTAACGGGAACCATGATGTTAAAGCTGAGATCCTCTACAGGGGGGACGGCTCCACTGGTTCACCCCCAGGTGTTATTGTTTTTGTTTTGTTTTTGAAAAGGAGGATTGGAGCATTCAGCATCTTGGTAAAAACAAGAGTATAAACTCTGCTGGTCTATTGCACATGCAATGACATCCGAGGGGGAAAAGTGTCCGTTGTTTGAAGTAACGTCTTTGTTGTAATATCGCAAACGGACGTGGCAGTTTCACCGCTAAGGATTCCCAGCATCACTTGTATAATCCCCTGCGTAGTTCCCTGTTGGTGTCCAGGACACAGGTTCAACATAGTCCTGGACTAAAAAGCTTTCAATCTCCATGGAGAATACCAGGACTTAATCTGTGTCCGGGAAACCAGCCCTATATGTTTCTTCTGTAAATTGCCAGTTTTTAAAAGTTTTTTTATGGCCTGTAAGGAGATTTAATGACCCGAGATACATTTCTGTGAAAACAGAATAATAAAAATGCTATCTTCTCTTCTCTTAGGTCAAGAGGTCATCCCAAAAGAAACACATCAACCCTGTTCAGGCTCTCAGCGAGTTCAAAGCCATGGATAGCATCTAGAGATGGAGCGGTCGAGTCAGGGTTAGGGTGGTGAGAGGAGGTAGGGGCTAGAGGGTTGGGATACCGATGGAGCTGGCTAGATCAACTCTGATGGAGCTAGCTAGATCAACTCTGATGGAGCTAGCTAGATCAGCTCTGATGGAGCTGGCTAGATCAACTCTGATGGAGCTGGCTAGATCAACTCTGATGGAGCTGGCTAGATCAACTCTGATGGAGCTGGCTAGATCAACTCTGATGGAGCTGGCTAGATCAACTCTGATGTAGATGTTTGGAGCTTCTTTTTAGTCTCGTCAAAAATGACAGGGTGAGAAAAAAAAAAAAAATTCTGAATGAAATGGTTTGGAAAGCTCCTCCTCCTTTCCTTCCCTGGTCTAGTCCAGCCGTCTGGTTGGATGTGATGTTGCTATGGAAGGGAAGGTCCTGAACTCTCTCGCTCTCTTTCTCTACCAGTCACTTTTTTTCCATTCAAACGACTGTATTCTGATGGCTCTCCGTCTCTAGCCTGCCGTATGATGCCTTTTACTGGAAAACAAAGCGATTTAGAAAAAAGCAAAGGGCAATTCTATTACTGTTGTTGCTATTATATATTCCAATGTTTGTACGAGAGGGGAGGGAGGCTTTCATTGATACTGTAAGATCTAATTCTGACAACTAATCATTTTGACCCCTGACCCACTGCCCCTTAACCTGTGATGTGAGATGCCCTGGGTATTTTATATAATTACATTCTAACATATTTTCTAATTGTGTGGACGGTGGGAGGGTATTGGATGGTATCCCACTATGTGCCGTATAGAATATGGTGCAGCATTATATAATGTGCAGATCAGATGGGCCTATCCACTTTAAACCAGATCTACTGCCTTAGATCTACTGCCTTAATACTTAATACTGGAGCATTGGTTTTTAGCTTTGATTTTTAAAAAACAAGTTGATTTTTCATTCTCAATGTGTTCTGTGCTGTCTAATAAAAGTTTGATATTATAGTGTCGTAATACTTTACTATACACTGGGTGCTTACCAGCCCTGAATGCTGTGATTGGCTGAAAGTTGTGGTATATCAGACTGTATACCACGGGTATGACAAACCATTTATTTTTACTGTTATAATTATGTTGGTAACCAGCGTGTAATAGCAATAAGGCTTGTGGTATATGGCCAATATACCATGGCTAAGGGCTGTATCCAGGCACGACGCAACACTGTGGTATATTGCCAATATACCACACCCCCTCGGGCCTTACTGCTAATATAACACTGAATTGTCATTATTTTAATGTTTTAAGTACAGTACAGTAAATCTGTTTGTGTAGTCCTCTTTGACATTTGGAACTGTAAATGTTTAGTTATTTTTCCCTGTCGTTAACCCCCCAGGTTTTAAAGAGTAGTCTGGATGAGGTCTCGCGTGCCTCACTGGATGCAGCAAACCAAAGCTAATAGAGAGAGGAGAATCATTCTCTCCCAACCTTCTGGTTTAATACATAACCCTAGTTCCACATACATACATACATACATACATACATACATACATACATACATACATACATACATACACACACACACATACATACACACACACACATACATACATACACACATACACATACATACATACACACACATACATACATACATACATACATACATACATACATACATACAGTGAGGGGAAAAAAGTATTTGATCCCCTGCTGATTTTGTACGTTTGCCCACTGACAAAGAAATGATCAGTCTATAATTTTAATGGTAGGTTTATTTGAACAGTGAGAGACAGAATAACAACAAAAAAATCCAGAAAAACGCATGTCAAATTTTTTTTGAAATTGATTTGCATTTTAATGAGGGAAATAAGTATTTGACCCCCTCTCAATCAGAAAGATTTCTGGCTCCCAGGTGTCTTTTATACAGGTAACGAGCTGAGATTAGGAGAACACTCTTAAAGGGAGTGCTCCTAATCTCAGTTTGTTACCTGTATAAAAGACACCTGTCCACAGAAGCAATCAATCAATCAGATTCCAAACTCTCCACCATGGCCAAGACAAAAGAGCTCTCCAAGGATGTCAGGGACAAGATTGTAGACCTACACAAGGCTGGAATGGGCTACAAGACCATCGCCAAGCAGCTTGGTGAGAAGGTGACAACAGTTGGTGCGATTATTCGCAAATGGAAGAAACACAAAATAACTGTCAATCCCCTCTGCCTGGGGCTCCATGCAAGATCTCACCTCTTGGAGTTGCAATGAACATGAGAACGGTGAGGAATCAGCCTAGAACTACACGGGAGGATCTTGTCAATGATCTCAAGGCAGCTGGGACCATAGTCACCAAGAAAACAATTGGTAACACACTACGCCGTGAAGGACCGAAATCCTGCAGCGCCCGCAAGGTCCCCCTGCTCAAGAAAGCACATATACAGGGCCGTCTGAAGTTTGCCAATGAACATCTGAATGATTCAGAGGAGAACTGGGTGAAAGTGTTGTGGTCAGATGAGACCAAAATCGAGCTCTTTGGCATCAACTCAACTCGCCGTGTTTGGAGGAGGAGGAATGCTGCCTATGACCCCAAGAACACCATCCCCACCGTCAAACATGGAGGTGGAAACATTATGCTTTGGGGGTGTTTTTTTCTGCTAAGGGGACAGGACAACTTCACCGCATCAAAGGGACGATGGACGGCGCCATGTACCGTCAAATCTTGGGTGAGAACCTCCTATCCCTCAGCCAGGGCATTGAAAATGGGTCGTGGATGGGTATTCCAGCATGACAATGACCCAAAACACACGGCCAAGGCAACAAAGGAGTGGCTCAAGAAGAAGCACATTAAGGTCCTGGAGTGGCCTAACCAGTCTCCAGACGTTAATCCCATAGAAAATCTGTGGAGGGAGCTGAAGGTTCGAGTTGCCAAACGTCAGCCTCGAAACCTTAATGACTTGGAGAAGATCTGCAAAGAGGAGTGGGACAAAATCCCTCCTGAGATGTGTGCAAACCTGGTGGCCAACTACAAGAAATGTCTGACCTCTGTGATTGCCAACAAGGGTTTTGCCACCAAGTACTAAGTCATGTTTTGCAGAGGGGTCAAATACTTATTTCCCTCATTAAAATGCAAATCAATTCATAACATTTTTGACATGCGTTTTTCTGGATTTTTGTTGTTGTTATTCTGTCTCTCACTGTTCAAATAAACCTACCATTAAAATTATAGACTGATCATGTCTTTGTCAGTCGGCAAACGTACAAAATCAGCAGGGGATCAAATACTTTTTTCCCTCACTGTACATACATACATGCATACATACATACATACATTTTCATTACATATTCTATCACACATTGTACTACACACACATTGTCCTAAACACACAGTCAATGAAACTCATTAAATGAGCTGACACACACCCTCCTCTCGCTCCCTCTCTGAGTGTTTGATAGGTCTCAGTGAGGCTGTGGAGGGGGTCTGGTAAATAGACCAGGCTGTGGAGGGGGTCTGGTAAATAGACCAGGCTGTGGAGGGGGTCTGGTAAATAGACCAGGCTGTGGAGGGGGTCTGGTAAATAGACCAGGCTGTGGAGGGGGTCTGGTAAATAGACCAGGCTGTGGAGGGGGTCTGGTAAATAGACCAGCCTGTGGAGGGGGTCTGGTGAAGAGAGAAACAGCGAAAAGCTTTGTCCATAAATGAGTTAAAGCAGTGGAAGATAATGTGTAAGTGTTAGCTGTGATGTTATCTTGTTGTTCCATCAGCATAGGCTACACCGTGTCCCAAATGGCACCTTATATCCTAATAATAGTGCACCATATAGGGAATAGGGTGCCATTTGGGCCTGGTAAATAATAGTGCACCATATAGGGAATAGGGTGCCATTTGGGCCTGGTAAATAATAGTGCACCATATAGGGAATAGGGTGCCATTTGGGCCTGGTAAATAATAGTGCACCATATAGGGAATAGGGTGCCATTTGGGCCTGGTAAATAATAGTGCACCATATAGGGAATAGGGTGCCATTTGGGCCTGGTAAATAATAGTGCACCATATAGGGAATAGGGTGCCATTTGGGCCTGGTAAATAATAGTGCACCATATAGGGAATAGGGTGCCATTTGGGCCTGGTAAATAATAGTGCACCATATAGGGAATAGGGAGCCATTTGGGACGTATGGTAGTTCATGTAACAGCTCAGTACATTATGCATGGATGGTAGGGTGGGTAGTGTAGTGGGGTTTATTTATTTGAACCAGGGCCACTTTGGTTCTTCATGCTGCGATGCTTCAGCTTGTTTCTAAACATAGAGGCAGGGCACGTAGGGTTAACAACGACAGATGGGACAGAATATTGGTTTCTTTGTTTTGGGTTTTAGGTTCTCTGAGCGTTGCATTGGGTTACATTGGGCTGTGGGATTTGGAGTGGGTAGAGCGTATTAGATGGATGCTTCTCGTGATTAAAAATCTCCTTTTTATGGTGAGAGAATAAAGTGGTGTCCCAAATGCCACCCAGTTCCCTATATAGTGCACTACTTTTGACCGGCCCCCGTAGGGAATCGGGTGGTATTTGGGACTTGCATTAGGAGTTACTCTAGCATCTGAAGGGGTAACGTTATATTGCTGTGGACGTTCTTTCTAACTTTGTTTTTATTTTGCGAACCAGGAGACATTGTACTGCACACTGTTTTACATATTCATGTTCCCGGCTTTCACTTCATGATGAATAAATGATTCCCTGTCGTCTGCTGTCTGTCATTATGCTACTGCCATCTGCATTTCAAGTTGTCCAAGTAGAAATCACTCCATGTTTGCTTCCCAGATATAATATAATATAATATAATATGCCATTTAGCAGACGCTTTTTATCCAAAGCGACTTACAGTCATGCGTGCATACATTTGTTTTTGTTTTTTGTGTATGGGTGGTCCCGGGGATCGAACCCACTACCTTGGCGTTATAAGCGCCGTGCTCTACCAGCTGAGCCACAGATGACACCCTATTCTCATTCACATAGGGCTCTGGTCAGA